TGCCCCCATCCATCTTTATACCCCCCCACCCCCCCAGTCTGAAAAGTTCCTCTGTTCAGTCTGCTTCCCCCCTCCCTCGTCGCCCGTCTGCCTCGCCTCTGTGCGGCTGGCGTACTATAATGTCTGTGGGTGAAGGAATGGCGTGTCTGCGTGCCCCGGAGGGTCTTCCCACACACTGATGGAAGGAAAAGGCCACACGGGCCTGAATACCACCCAGCCCTCCTCTTTTCAAGCACCCCTTTCACTCCCTCCACCACAATAGTGTTCGGGCTCCGCGGGACAGCATTGTTTGTGTCACTCACACACCCACAAACGCACAAAGAGTGATGGTGATAACAAAGACTCGGGGGCGGGGGGGGGGACGGGTGCTCGTTCTGATGGACTCATCAGGCCCATGGGGTCCACATGCAACTGGATCTCAACACTCCTCTTTAAAATGTAGGAGTGCTGCGCTATATCGCCGTCATGTTTTTTTTATTTTCTTGTGAAACGGAGGTGACGCGAACTGCCAAACATGCCTCAAACATGCCCCAACAACGCAACAACAACAAGTTGTACGTTTCACAATTGCCCTCGCGAATGAAAAGTGTTCTGTAATTCATTTTGGAGTGAGCAATCACGCAGGAAGTATTGAGTCATAGCGCTGTAGTGTTGTCTGATTGGTATTGTGTTCTTTCAGGCTGTTTGACACTCGGGCCAAGCTAACAGTCCTGTTTCTGAGCCCTGTGCGAAACTGTCGGACAAGTTCCAGCTCGCTAGCTGTTTGGGTTAATAATCACTAGAAGATGTTCTCCTCTTGTCTCTGTGCTGTGAAACTGGATTTGACAGACAAGCCAATGCATTGCCGAAATAGAGAGAGATGGGGTTTACTCTCCACAAATCAACCCATTTGTCTTTTCTATAGTGATCTTGTCAGGCTTGAAAATGCTGCCTAAAGTGAGACAGAATGCTCGTAAGGCCCTAAATATCGCGGAGCAATAAAACCTAGAGCTCCTTTTCTGTGTGATTTTCTCGAGCTTGTTGTTGACAGCCAGACGTTCTCACCCGAGAACAACGCACCTTCTCTCGTCCCCACAATACACTCACTCCTCACATCCACTTAATTAATCATATTTTCTGCCTGAGCTGCTGAAATGTTTGGGAGCTCTGCACGCTGTAATTAAGAGCTTGTTAAGCTGTAACCAAGTCGCTGAGGTAGTTGGGTGCAGGCAGTGTGTTATTAGCCAGCTCCAGCTCCAAGTGTCTGCGCAGAGAGCCAGGTGTGAATGCGTCGTTCAAGCCGCTGTTACAGGTAGTGAGGGATTCAACGGTCGGTTTACGAGCAACAGTTGCGAGCGTTTTTCTGGTTCCAGCCTCTCAAGTGTGAGGATTCGATGCTTTTCTTTGTCGTGTGGGTTAGTCGTCTGAATATGTTTGGTTTTAGGAGAATTTATCAGATAAAACGGGGAATTTTGAATATGTCACTTTATGATCATTTTCACTGTTTATTTCTTGACACATTCAGTGAATCAGGTTTATAAATAATACCAATAATTGTTAGTTGTAGCGCATGTAAAACCTCCCAAACACAGTTGATGTCAAGTAACATCTATCGACCTCCGTTCCAGTCTTACGTCTGAGAACAAATGCATATGTTTTTCTGTTTTGTGGTAGCTGTTTCCCACAGATAAAATCAAATGTGACCACTCCCAGGGGGATTTTTCTTTTCTGATTCGTTCTGATGCTCTGTCCAGTGCAGTCTGTCTCAGTTGGGTCTACACGATATCTGGATACATCTGGATACAAGATAATAGCTCAGAACAGGACCTAACCTTCTTTGGATTATAGCCACAGTGCAGAGTTTTCATTGTCCATTTGAGTCAGATACATTTTGCCCACCCAAACTTGTTTTTAGTTACACGCTGTTGCAATTCATCAGCCGAATTGATAAATTGATTTTGCCGTATCGAGTGTGGAGGAGTGTGAATGCAAAATGCGTGGAAGTGTTTCCTTGCCGCACAATCAGATGAGCTGTTGGCAGCGCCGCTGATATCATATCATCAGGAATGGGTGCGTTCACACGGCCGGCCACATTAGAAATTCAGCTTTTTTTTTTAGGGAGTCATTGAAAGGTCAGTCACACTTGAGTAAGCCTATAGCCTGTGCATTTGTGTGTGTCCAGGCAGCGTGGAGCTTGGTTTGTCTGCTAGTTAGTTGAGGTTAATGGGATCAGCTGGCTTAGGGAGGCATCTCCTCAAGTGGTGATAATCTCTCCGTCCACATGGAGAGGAACCCCTTGCTCTGGGACACGCACATCTTACAGCAGCACAAAACAAACAGGCGGATTTGAATAACGAGGCGGATACAAGGACATCTAGTTCCAGACTGTGTTTATTTGCTCAGTGATAAAACATAGAAGTACAGTGATAAGAGCCGAGGCATTAGAAATAATGAAATATGCAGAAGAAAGGGTTGGGAACAAATCTTGAGGGACTTCTAAAACATCTTGTCTCCAAACAAAAGAATCAATAGGTATAAACTAAAGAAACAAGGACACAATACTGTGCTTTTATTGGTTTATTGTTTATTATTATAGAAATCTGTGTATAATTGTCCCTTAGGTTTTATCTACAGCTCAGTAAATAGCACTGATTTTCAGAAGAACATTTTTGTTTTGGTGGTGTTGACAGTGTTTAGCTCAGGTAGTGTATTCAGTGGCAGTGACGACCTGAATTTGACTCTGGCTGTCCACATTACACTGTGGGAAAATTCAGATAAAAGGAAATTACACAAGGACTGTACAAAGGCAGGTTCAGTTCAGTTTCAATGTACTCATTCAGTCAAACTCACTTCAATCAAAACCATAGTCTCCCACGAGGAACGTTTGGTTAGCAAATATGGCTTTAAAAAGGCACATAATACGGGTACAGGATGTGCTGACAGGCCTGCATGTTAGATAGTGTGTTGGGCCTATACAGTAACAGACACTTCATAGTACAACTGAGTGAAACTTTGAGTTAGCAGTAGGTCAAGTCTCTGCAATAGTGTGATTTTAAAAAAAGGAATGAAATCCAGTTGAACTTGAACTTGTGCTTAAATTTACTACATTTAAATTGTGAGTTTAATTCAATGATTAAGTTAATGGCACACGTATTCACCGACTGAGAAAGAGATTCAGGAGTGGTAAGTCACGATGACAGGGTACCAGGCTTGGATATTACCTCATAGCTGTCTCACTTAATGCTGCCTTCCAGGTCGCCTCAAGCTGTGGCAGGGGGAAATACAACTTGACGTGCATTGAAGTACATTTGACCGGAAATAATAAGAAAATTGGCCATATAACAAAAGTACTTTTCTGGTGTCTGGCTGGTGTTTAATTTTAGAAGCACCAGAGTGAAGAAGCATTTTTTTTTCTCCCCCTTTCTGCTTTATTGGATTGTTCACAGCAGAGAGGAAATGGGAGACATGGGAAAGGGATGTGTCCATATTTACTGAACCACCAGGGCCTCCGGTAATTGATGATTTGAAGGCTTCGACAGAAATAGTTGTATATTTATTTCAAGTTCGTATAATTTACATGGCATGTTGCATGATAAACACTACGCAGTATGACACAAGACACATCCTGTGTATTTGGCCCTTGAATGTTGCATTTCTGCAGCTCTGGTAATCCCAGAAATGTCTGCTGTATGGGTACTTCTTGAAGTACTTGAAGGCAACACCAACACTACAATGGTCCCACTCAAATCCATGATATTGTTAATACTGTCCGGCCAGGGCACAAAATTAACAACAGCCGATTGCTGGTTAAAAAAATGCTTGTGGCTGGTAGATTTTCTTCTCACCAGACAAAAAACAACGGTGATCCATTGTGATACGTGAACAAAAAAGTTGTCTCTGGTTAATTATGACAGTTTGAAATGATTCCCAAATGTAGCAATGGTATAAATTAAATCTAGTCTACAGGATATTATCCATCAGTGTCATCAACTCTTTCTGGTTTCCTGTTGAGGGCAGAGCAGTGGGAGTAAGTGAGGAAGCACATCCTATGTGTCAGTGGGTAGGGATTTACTAGAGAAATGTCTTCAGATAACAATCATAAAAGTTTATTTTCTTTTTAGGCTGCAGTAAACTGCATTAGTGAGACTGCTCCACATACTGTAGGGAGTAAAATCCTTACTGCTGCACCAAATGTTCAAAATTCAGCCCACTTTGTTGCCCATTTGAGGGCAACTTCCTGGTGATGACCTCTGGGGATTTTCAGCTCTAAGGGCCACTCAAATGCCACATTCATTTTGGGCTGTGTGCAGCTGAATCATCTCATTTGGAAAGAAGGTGCAGCTTTAGTTCAGCCTTCTGGTTCTCTCAAGGACACTCCTCCACTGGCTGTGTCCTTCAGAAACTTCCAGACCCTGAATCCAAGAGTCAGAGTCAGAAAAAGCGGCCAGAAAAGTTGCACCCTGTTATATAACACACACAGGTGTTGTGTTGTCCAGACATAGTTTGTTTTTTGAGACACCAAAAAAAAACTTGTATCTTGTTTAGTGTTCAATAAGTCATGACTCACTTTTAATGTGACTTATTGATCTCAAAGCAAAAACAGTCCAACCTCTCCTCTTTTCTGCTTAACCAGTCTACTGGCCATTTTCTGCCTCTATAGGAGGAAACTATTGCATCTGCTAATACTGCCAACTGAACTGCCACCAAATACAGCTGAAGGTTGTTGTATGTATGCTGCAGACAGGTCTTGCTAAGAAGGTTTTCATATATAATAAATTCTGTAGAGCAGTAGTATTAGGTTGAACCACCATGAGATATAATCAGGTATTTTGCAGTTTAACGGCTGAAGCAGTGGTTTAAAAACACAGAAACAACATAATACCACAAGGAGTAACATGCAAAAGCTTTTCTTCCCTTTTTCAAATCCAAATATTGAAACATGTTCAGCTGTACCAGATGAGTCCCTGTTATTGCCACATTTGCCACAGTTTTTAACGACATTTTGATACAATGGAGAATGAATTAAGTGTTGTCATGAATTTACACCGATTGCTACAACAATAAACTCTGTCTGAAGCTAATGTTCACAGCGGCGCTTAAATAATATCCCAATTCTAATTTTCACAGTTAAGAATCATAGAAAATTGGCAACATTTAAAGATTGTCTTTGGTTTAAGTTGACAGTAGTTAATGAATTTGAATCTGTAATTCACCGTGATTAAGTGTTCAGAATTGGTAATTATCCACAATATCTAGAAAACCATTGTGTAACATTATACTTGAGATGGAGTTGTGTAATAGTGGTTTCACTGCTGCAGGGTAGAGTTGTTTTCTCTGCCACAGCTTTTCTTGCTCTCTTATTTATCTGTGTGGAGTATTGAGGCTCTGAGGGTAAATGGTTTAATACTCTGTCAGTCTAATCTCTAATACCTGATCTCCATGTGTTTACCTCGACTCTTCCTGCGTGTCACTTTCCAGCTGAAGCACCACACCCTTCACTGCTACCTCTTATGTAACGGCCGGGGCCAACCCTGTAGCAATCCCTCACGGTTGCTGTGGTTGTTTGGGATACCGTCACATTGTCGGTCTTGTTATGTGCGCTGACGTATTGCCGTCAGTTTACCTGCTTCACCCGATTTAATCAGCTTCCCGACGATATGATTTTTTTCCCAATTTCAATGGGGCTATTATATTTCAGGCTCTGCCATTCTAGTGTTCCTCAGTTAAGTTCATTACCATCCCAAATCTCTTAGGAATGACATTTTGTGGCAGCTAAGCAGTTGATTAGAAAATAACATTATACGAGTAAAAGCACACTACCCAGAAATGTGTGATTCTTACTGAAATGCAGTCTGATTAGATTAGTCCTGAAGACTTACTGTTATGTTGTTAAATGTTCTTTATCTTTACATATTATTGTCCAGTGCTGTGGCCATCTCAAGCATTCACCCAGTGGTTTTTCAAAGTTCTCCTTTTTTCTTTTTTTTTTTGGCATGTTTTAAACTGTGTGCCCTACATTCATCCTTCATGGGACGGGAGGCTAATACCAAAGAGATTTTCCTTAACTCTCAGGATATCAGATCCTCCACCCACTTAAATTTCCCAGAGCAGTGACTCTAACCTGCAATAACCTGCAGATGTAATGAGTCACTCTATCAACAGCAAATTAAAAGGCATATTCTCAGAATTCGCTTTAAAAAAAACCAAAAAGCCAATTTTCTCAATTAGATTATTTCTATTAGCGATGCGGTTCTACACGAATGCACAATTATCTGCCCGTTTTAGAAGATTACTGTTTTTTTTGGGATATTTCTGTATGTGTGTCTTGACTGTGCTCTTCTGGTTTAGTGTGGGTGAGGCTGTGTGGAAAAGGGTGATATCATAGATTACTATGGATCAATCTGAAGATAGTTGTTGGGTTGTTTGCATATGTTGCCAGGGGAGACACTACTGTAAATCCTATGCGATAAAACCACACCCACGAAGTCCCGGTATAGGTTTTTGTTGTGTTTAATCTTCTATCAATTTGTCGAGGTTTAACTTTGATGCTCATTGAGTCTCAAATATGCAATTTCTTCATCTTGTTAGTGTTTCTTTCTGTCTGACGCTGAATCCTCTTCTCTGTGCTTTGTTTTACAGTTACTAGGAGCTGCATTCTTGGGCATAGGCCTGTGGGCATGGGCGGAGAAGGTAAGTATAAACACATGCACACAAACGCACACTGTTATAGTACAATGTGATTGCCTCAACAGCATAGCTAAATTTGTTCCGCATATTCCAGTGGGAATAAGCTTTAAATACAATTTGCAGAAGAGAGTTTAGATGAAAACAGGACTTTTATGAGAGGTGGTGTGGGAAATCCAGCGAGGGCACCATTCCTGAAACGCTTTATAGCACTATTAACTGATAAAGGTCCTGGTTAACATGTCTTAGTCTCCTGAGGAGATGAAATATGTTGCTGCAGCTTAAGTGTGATTTGTGACTGTTAAAGTTTTGTTGAGCCAATGTTTTTTCCTAAGAGTTGCAGAGTTTAACAGAAGCTAGAAATAGGCACAGCTACAAATATGGACCCATAAACAAAACTATGAACTGAATTTGCATGGATTCTGGTTACTGTGTACTTTCCACAGTATACTAGCCACGGATGTCAGGTGCTGCCATTAACCTCGTGTGCAGTGGATCGTGGCCACGTTTAAAACTCCCTCCAAATCGAGTTAACAGTCAATTTGTTCATTAATTATCTAGAAGTTGTACCAGTCGGTTCAGTAAATGCTGCACCGGCGTGGAAGCATGTACTGATTAGTAACGTCTGGCCATGAACTCTGTGCAAATAGGCCTGTATTGGAGTACCTGGTGGAACAGCGTGAATAATTTAAAGGGATTAGGTCGAATGATGAATAGCGGGTACTGGAAAGGCATAATGGTGAGTTTGGGTCTCAGTGACTAAGATGATTAGTTTCTGGCCCGCTGCGTTCAGCCAGTCTGGTTTATTGTTTCAGGGCCTCATGCTTAAATTCAAATGAAGGCACTTTATTCTTCACCAGTGCCATAAAAAACACAAGAATGCTGTTATGCCTCTGTCGTATAGTTGTCCCTTGGCTCAGTGCAGTGGGAGCTTAACTTAAGCAGTATGAGATTTCTGCATCCTGGGCTTTAGCTGCAAGTGTTTGACATGTGCACTATATGCGACAAGCAAACGGGATGTCAGAACTAAGAGATGGTGCCCACATTTACAGACGCTGGTGGGATCCCTTTCAAGACGGTGAGAAATACAGAAAGAGATGATGAGAGATGATGCGTGAACCAGAACGCACATTATCTTCGAAAAGGTTTTGTACTCGCAAACTGCACCTCCTTGCAATGTACTACCTTGTGACATCTTCCAGTGAACCCACTCTTTGGCGCCGAGGTGTAGTTCCTGTTTGAGAAATGTGACAGCGCGAGGCATGGGACTGACAGGAAAACATGTCGGACACACTGCGGCCTCAGAGCTGTGAGGGCAGGATATGCAGAGAGGAAGGACATCTCTTTGTGAATGCTCGCCAGAGGCTCTGAACTGTGTCTCTTCTGATAAAAGTTATTTGTTTTATAGGCTGGACCGAGATCTGCTAGAGAGTGAAATTGTGTTGTAGATAAATTGATATATAACACCTTGGGATTTGCTATTTGATTTAGAAAGCAACACACTTGATAGATACCATTCTAAACAGTATTGCCTTATAATAGATTTTTCTGCTGTACTTCTCTATATATCTCGGAACAAGGCAACCCTGGCCTCTTGGCTGTATCATTAGTTAAATTGTCACTGTTTCTCTTTGACATCACAGGCTCTTGTCAAGGTTAACTGTGTGTTTTTGTAGAGTGCAGAATTTAGCTTTGACCTTGTAATAGAGATAGAAAGGATTATATTTGGAAGTATTATAGTCAGAATTTTAACCATTCTCTTTCATCTTTCCTCCTTTCCCGCAGGGCGTACTGTCCAATCTGTCATCCATCACAGACCTAGGGGGTTTCGACCCCGTGTGGCTCTTCATTGTCGTTGGAGGGGTCATGTTCATTCTGGGCTTTGCTGGCTGTATCGGAGCGCTCAGAGAGAACACTTTCCTGCTTAAATTTGTAAGTCAGCCTCCAGACTTTCCGAGCACAGACACCATTTTAACCGCTTCACACCCCCTTAGATCTGCAGTTCACACCAGAGATGAGGCTGTCGGTGTAGCAGGTGTCACAGGACTCAGTTGAGTCACCCAAGCCAAATGCTACGGTCGGTTACATAGCACAAATATGTGTTATCTCATCACTAAACCAAGTCCTGTTTCATCAGAGAATAATGATCAGAAACACTGATTCGTGACTCATAAGCCGTTTTCAAGCGTGTCAAATATTATTTTCTTAATCTGCACTTTTTGATTTTGTCTTTTTTATCTGTAAAAACAGCTAAGATTTCTTCTAAAGCCCAAAGCCACAAGAAGACCATTTTGGGAGGTTTATTTGGGTTCACAACATGTTACAACATGTGACTGATGGAGACAAACTTGCCTTGTTGCTGGCTGCGATTCTGAGTAGCTATTAACTCCAGCCGATGTCCATTAGCAGCAGTAAGTCAGGCGTCAGAGTGAGGAGCTAATGTGGCTTTTGTGCATTTATCATCAGCCCCGTCTCCTCTCCTCCTACATTTACTGTAAAGGGATGATATAACGGTACCTCGGGGACTGCGGCTTTTGTTGCAACACTCTCACTCAGCAAATCAGGACAGGCCCAACAACCAGACCTGTACAGGGACGTTACATCAGAGCTGTTCCTTTTTAATTCTTTCACAAGAAATTTTTTTTATTAGTGTTCTGATACATTACTAAACAGGACTTTCTTGGGCGCACTCAGATTCCCTGATTAAAGTGACAGATTTATTGTTTTCTGTTTGTGTGTTTGCGTGCGTTCACTCCTGTGTGTGTCATGTACTTTGCAGTTTTCTGTGTTCCTGGGTTTGATCTTCTTCTTGGAGCTGACTGCAGGGATCCTTGCCTTCGTCTTTAAGGACTGGATCAAAGACCAGCTCAACTTCTTCATCAACAACAATGTCAAGGCCTACCGCGATGACATCGACTTGCAAAATCTCATTGACTTTGCCCAGGAATATGTGAGTCCATGACTACTGACTGACACTTATGTGTTACTTTCTTGTTATGGTTCATGTTTCTTGGCTTGAAGAACTTACTCCCCTCTGTAGAAATGTTGCAACACTGATCTTGAGTCAGCTCAGTTCTGGGCAGAGACGAGAATGAGTAAGCCGTTGCAATTGTGGTGTAAATCTCACTATTAATATGATTGTATTTCCCTCAAATCGTTATCCAATTAAATGAATGAAACAGTTTAGATAATTGGGTCCCGTGTGTAAACTCTGGGCTCTGTGATGACATACTGTAAAGGCGATTAGATCCACTGTTGTCTCGCCCTTTGTGTCCCGCTATCTGTAGTCACTACCCGCCACAGTAAGCTGGCTACCCAGCCAAGCTGACCTGAGCCAGGCTCTGAAGAGTTGTTTTAGGACCAGATCAGAGAAAATAAATCTGTCTGTTAACCACAGTTGGCTGTTTAATCTCTCCCCGTTGTTGCTGCTGTCTCAGTGGTCATGCTGTGGAGCTCACGGGTCGGACGACTGGAACCTGAACATCTATTTTAACTGCACTGAGCTGAACCCCAGTAGGGAGCGCTGTGGAGTCCCCTTCTCCTGCTGTGTCAAAGACCCTGCAGTGAGTCATTCAACAATAATAATACATTATTAATTCTGCATAATTTTTGTAGTATAGAGTTGTAACAATTAGTTAATCTGCAGAAAATGTATTTTGATAATCAAATAATTAGAAGCAAAAATTCCAAATTTGCTGGTTTCAGCTACTCAAAGACGTCACCTTAGACTGGAATTGTAATGGGCATTTTTCACAATTTTCTGATATTTTGGAGAGAAAATAATACACATATTAGCCGATAATGAAAGTAATAGGCTATAGCCCCAATATAATTTTCGAACTGTAGTATTTCTTTTAGCATCATTTTATTTCATTTTGAAAGCTTATAGAGTTGAAAAAGAAAGTAGTTGAAAATGGACAAGATAGAGTACTATGTAATATATTGCCTTTAATGACTCCCAATATCTAGCCATTCTTGTGTAGCCATACTGACAATTGTTTATCAATTAGTTGTTGTAAAGTTACTCTCAAAAGCAGCAAGTCACTTCTTAATTTATTTCGGCTCCTCTCAGATTTAAAAAAGAGTCTTTCAACATCTCAGACGCTGTGACCAGCAGCTGTGAGGATTTCAAATTTCTGTGTTGTTCTTGCAGGAGGATGTCATCAACACGCAGTGCGGTTATGATGTTCGGCTTCAAGGGGTTCGTATCTCTAGACATGTCTCTACCACTTCTGTATGTCTCTAAAATGTTACATAAACTTATATTTGATTTACTATACTCTCCAGTTGTTTCTCCTTTCAGGACTGAGCTCACTGAAAATGAATGTTGTGTTTTATGATATTTTTTAAAATAAATCTAGATCATCTAAAACGTAATGAAACGATACCAGTTTAATAGAGCCAGTTCTCATTCACAGTGCAGTCTCTGGCAGTAGTTGAACATGATTGGCAGCCAGTGCCAGCCCTTCTGGTTAAAATGACGCAAAGCTGCTGAGTGGAATTACTCCTGAGAGCAAGTTGATTGACAAGCTGCAAACCTATTTGATTGAAATGATCTAAGCAGTTGTTGAAGGGTGGATTGGCAATCAGGTTCATTTGTTTGAAGCCCAATTGGTTGTCTCGGTAAGTAAAAAATTGATTAATAATTAAAAAACAAATAGTTTTGAATGAAACCAGTCAAGTTTAGATTTCATAGTATCTTTCTTAACATTCTTGTTGAGGAAAAACACCACACAAAAACCATACCAACACAGCAGACAGAGAATATATAGGGTTAAATAGCACACAGGCTCCTCTGCATGCTTCTTGCCTTAATAACAGATTGTTCTTCTAACAGGGATAATTAGGCTCCAGTTATAGCCCAGAGAGCACCCTTACTACACTCTGTAATTGGCGACTCAGTGGGTTATGCCAGTCCGTTCCCTTTTCCTCTGAGTGTGGGTGTGGTGGTTACAACTCACTGCAGTGCAGTCAGAAAGATTGCTGTTGCTAGGCGCACTGCAATACAGTGAACCACCTGCCACTGAGTTGGTATGAATTCATTTTCTCTGTGTGCTCTTCCGCTGTAACGCCCTGGCCATTGGCATTTTGCTGAAGCTATCAGTGATGTGCAGAAAGTTCCTGTTCAGCTCGTTTGTGGAGGGCAGGCTGGGAAAGAGGAAGAGCAGGAGACATGGGGAGGACAGCAGCGCAACAAAGGCAGAGGGCTGAAATAGCTTCAGAGGAAGTTCACAGCCAGAACAACATAGTGTTTCCTGCTTTTTTTATTGGCTGCCAAGGGGCTCCCCTTGCCTCCCATTGGTTGAAAGCTAGCTTTCAGGTTTTGCAGGAGAACAAAGAGTTTGCCGGGTTGTCTCGTGGAGTAACAAAGAGAGCATTGTAAAGAGTCCTGTTCACACCCATTCTTACCCCCCATTTTAGTGTCTTTGCAGCTCTAAATTACACCTTTTTCTTTTCCGTCTCGTCCATGTGCGTTGCCTGAATCTGACAACACAAACAGCCATCTGTCCGGTAACAGGAAACAGCCTCTGCCTGTTTGTTCAGTCCCAACAGTGTCCCCCGAGAAACTGAATACACTGCCTTGATATTCTCCCTGTCATCCAGACACTGACACGTTGTAAACTAAGGGTGACTCAGCTCTCACTCACTCCTCATGCTCTCCTCAGCGGGGAAGGAGTCAGTGGACAGAATGCTATCTGTGTTTGTTTTGCCCTACATTAGTCAGAATTCAGATGTTTATTTAAAAACATGGAAAAGGTCAATGTCCTCTCTGAGAACTGGTCATTTTAATGTGATAAAAATACAACATTTATTCACATTTCATTTTAATTAACTTCTAAACTGTTTTTGTTTTTTAAAAAGGAGCTGGACCGGCAGAAATATATCTATACCAAGGGCTGTGTGGGACAGTTTGAGAAGTGGCTTCAGGACAACTTGATTATTGTAGCTGGGATCTTTGTTGGTATTGCACTTTTACAGGTAAGTCTCTGGCTTAGCAGACTACTTTTCTTTTACATTTACATGAGGAAAGCTAGTGCATTTGAAATAAGGTGTTTACCCTAAAACAAACAATATGCCTGGGTTCTGATTTTGTGTCATCACTGCCATCTAGTGGTGACAGCATATTGCATCATGCAAACCTCTGCAATACAGCAGTCTGCTCTTTTTTTGTTTTTCATGCTGTATCCTGAGCTCAATATCTGTCCCCTGTGTCCTCTTCAGATTTTTGGTATCTGCCTTGCTCAAAACCTGGTTAGTGATGTTAAGGCTGTCAAAGCCAACTGGTGACAGGAGAGGTTGAGTGAGGGACCCCCCCCATCCCTCACGCCCAGCCAAGTCAACACAGCACACTAACAGTCCCGTCTAGCTGAGGACGGAGCACCGACAGCATTCAACTCTACTTTGCCACTGAGCTAAGCAGCACATACACACTCTCGCACTTGTATACGTGCAGACACCAAGAGTTTACTTCCCTGTTTATCAGTGACACTTGAAGGGATCAGACCCAAACAAACATACAAACAGTCAACACTTTGTTTACCACTCAGCGGGGATTTTAACCCAAATATACAGAGGACGGTCCTGCCTTCTTCTTTTATTTCTTTTTTTTTTATTTTGTTCTTTGGACGCATGTATTTATGGGGCGCAGTTGCACAAGGACTTCTGTCAACTGGGATTGGAAGCCATGGATGAAAGTGAGAGACAACACAAAAACAAAGGAAGAGGGACAATACGTCTCCCTTTTTTTAGATCAAGCAGAGCCTCTTTCTACTCAGTGAGGGGTTGAACATCTCCTACAAACGGCCTGTTTTTAACTTGCTTATCCCCACTTCCTGCTGCAGAGGAACGTGGGTGGCTGGCCAGCCGGCCAACACGCACATGGATTCTTCTGCACGTCATTTTTCTCCATCGTGACCTTTTTATGACCACTGAAAAAGACTCGGAACACTGGCTGGTCAAGCCTGCAACTTCAAATAATTTCAGGAGATTTAACATTATAAATCCAAATGTAAAAAGTGCCATTAATTTCCAGTGATATATTTTGTCTTCTTCCTGTTCTTTACATGGAATCTCCGCACCCCGCCCCTCAATACCTCAGGGCCTGGCTGAAAATACACGTGTATGCTTTCTGCCACCGGTTAAAAGCATATCTATTTTTTTCCATCCATGTCTGTTGAATTTAGATACACTAACTTAATGCAGAAAAACAATGACAGTTCCTTGAAAATCGCCCTGTTTGCCCTGCAGTGATTGTATTATCTGATGATTTACTGAAGGATATTGTCTAGTATTATATGAAAAGGCCTGGTGTGGTTAGGATTGTAGGTCTATGCTATACAGGGAAAAGGGTTTAATGTTAGTTGAGATTGTTTATCTCTGGGCATCCCTCAGGCACATGGGATTGCTGGTTTGGGGCCTTTTTAACTTGACTTATGTTATCACATTTGTCTTATATTTTGTCCTCTGCATAGTGAAATAAGAATATTTGTCTGTTTTTTTAAAGATATCCTTTATTCATTCTTTATTTCCTGTCCTTTCATAGACACAGATTTTAATTCTGGGTTTATTGTTTGACTTTAGCAGGCACCTATTTTACCTCTGACCCATCAGTCAACTGCGAAATAGCTTCTTTTTGTTGCATTATTAGCAGTCCTAATGGAGACCAAATAATATCAGCTGGCCACAAGCTAATTGCCAAGATTTTGTCTGGCTTCAATTCTGATTTTGTTAGGAATGCCAAGAATAACAAATAGCATTTCTAGATGGGCAAAATGTGAATCTATTGTCCCTTTTATGTGGGAAGTGCCAGTTAAAATGAAAAATCAAACAAAAATTAAAAATGTTACAGTATCGCTTTTATCTTTAATTCAATGTTTTGTCTTTTTGTTTGGACTGGTTTTTAAATAGAATAGTAAATACATGCTGTTACCATTTTGATATTAGCAACAGCCTCAATATAACATGAATGCTGCTTTAACTTTGACTAGATTGATATGTAGTACAGTAACCGAGCTAACAACACGTCTCACATGATGGCATTTAAATAATTTGCCATATTGTTATTGTTTTCCAGGCTGAGGGAATATTCAGATTATTTGTTCTTTCTCAAGTTTACACTTTGTACTCCGCTTACCTTGCCATTTGTTGTTCTAAAAATCTTTTCACATTATAAGTTGCCCATCGCAGCTTTTCATCTCGTCCACGATCCTCACAGAATGTAGTGTCTGATATAACTGGGTTCACTTGATAATACTGCATATTTCTGCCTGCATTTAACCACTGCAGTTGTTTCTGGTTGTAGCAGTATCATTGGGATACATAGCACAGGCAGGATTTGAGTGGGATTTACTCAACCACACACACACGGCCAAAAAAGCATGTTTTGAATTGCAACGCACACAAGTTGAAAGATGAGTAGCATTAATATTCTGTGCACCAAAACTTTTCCTGCTTCACCGAGTCTGTCTCTAGAATATATATACATATATAGGAACACATTCGGTAACAGCACCTTATGATCGTCGGCTGTGCGTACATGTCACATGTTGCTTTCACCCACACGCTCCCTCTTCAAAACAAAACCTGATCTGACTGCACCTGTTTCAAAGCCTGTCATTTTGATGTATTTTTAAACACGGCTCGTTTTGAAAAAAAGTAAAACACAAGACGTAACAACAGTCAGTTGATTTAGGCGTCACGAATAGAATAGATCCAGTGGAGCACAATGCAGCTCTGCTGGAGTGACGGGAGTCTTAATGACTACTCTCAGTTGAAATGTATGAGTTTGCATAGGAGAAGCTCATTCGTTTTAGGGCTTAAGGTGTAATCACTGAGTAAGAGCCTCGAGCAATCTGAGAGAACAGATGTTTTTTTCCTTCGATCAAATGTAGAAACATTTACAGGATAAAACACAACTTAGAGCTAATGCAAATTCTCACACAAAGTTGCCTGATGCAACATGATTTCTCATCCTGTTATTGTAAATGTGTGTGGGCCTCTTTGATTTCACTAATTGTTAAATCAATCGGTCCCACTTGAGTCTAGAAGATCAGGATCAAACCAGTAGGGTTGTTTCCCCCCCCCTCTCTACACCTTTCTAGTTTTATCTCTCGAAAAGTGGGCTAAAGCATATAATATGTGATTAATTTACCCAAAAAATAAAAAAAAAGCAACCCCTATGCTTATGTATGCCGGAAGATTCTGTCTTGTATAAAATGGAGGGCTGCTGCCTTTTGAGTGATGCTGAGGATCTGGCTGAAGGCAGATGGAGGCCACGGGTGTCAGTTCTGCGGCAGTACAGAGCTGCAGCTCTTAAACAAAAAAGCACTCCTGCTCTCTCTCTCTCTCTGCAGCCACCGCTGTGTCTGGATGGATATGCCAATAATCAGACAGTCACCTTGGTAATAAGGACAATAATGCCATAATAATCGGTAGTAGCAGCGGCAGGACTTTAATATGCAGTCTCTCCAAAGGTGACTTACTGGAATATGTTTGTTTTAACAGCTTTGGGTGATTCTGCTTTTGTATTCCTTTAATGTAGGGGGGAAGACGGAGGGAGACAACCATGCTAATTATGCTTTGTCCTTTTATCATAATGGCCTTGCATCATGAAACACCCTCTTAATTTCTCCGCTTTCCCTGTGGGCAGTTAAATCATTCCAGAGGAGGAGCCTTGTGCATACCATGAATGTATAAGTCCGTATCAGCGTGGACCGACAGCTCCACGCTCCGTTAGAAAATTCTTGTTACTCTCACGCAGCGCAACGCACAAGACAAGTGAAGTTTAGGAATGTGAAATAAAGAGTTGTCTTAAGTGACTTCTTTTTTTTAAAAAGATGTTATTCTGATTTTTACATTTGTTTTAGTGCGCATGAAAGCAGAAGAGCATTCCATTTCATTGTGTTTCCAGGTGTGTGCAGACTTACATGGACATTTTATATGCAATCGCAGAGCATTTTAATCATCAGAAACAACCAGTTTAATGCTCTTGATTCTTAATCTCTCCTCAGTAGCTGTAAACAATGTGGATGGTTCCTAAATATTAAAATCATCTCATATGCTTAGGTTATGATCATATTTTATTGATAAAACTTATTTTGCTACATATGCATATATGAATGATTTGGTTCATTTTTTTTCTTTATGCATACAATACAAAGTGACATTGTGACTGATAATCTGTCCTGTGATGATGATCCTTTTTCCTGCTTTGAAGTCTGCAAATGTCTTGAGGTAATTCTGTTGATATTTCTTACAAAGGTGAGCAGCACATCAGACATTCACAAGTCTTACCTCATCGTGTGCAGAGAGACGCCGGTCACATCAGAGCACATTGAAGCAGCATAATTGACTTGTTTTGTGCGCATATTAACAGCAATATCACAGTTGTTAGGACTGACATTTCCATACCAGGTCAAGATATCTGAGCCAGACACAAACGTGATCTGACTGGAACGAAATAGTGCTTCAAGTTGAAGATGGTTTTTACAGATTGGCTCAGAGTTATATCAGAATATGGATAAAGTAGTTACACAGAAACCACTATAAATATCCGTTTGTTCAGCTGGACAACAGAAACATTTTTCCTCAGTTTTTTATTTTTACTTTACAGTATGTCGGTTTTTATTTGTGTGTGTCGGCAGAATACAACACACAACCATATTATCTGTCTGTTTTACAGTTTGGACCTGTCTACACTGATGGGTAGCCTTGTAAAGAAAAATGTTGTATATGAAAACTGTGGGACATGGTCTGTTACACTGTATATTGTGTTAAAATATGCCTCTTTCATATATTAAAGGATTTATGATAACAGAGGAGTGTTCTCTTGTTTTAACTCAAGCAATCATTGACAGTAAGTACATTCACTATACTCTATAAAGAGCTGTATTTACAATTTGATGTAATTGTACTTGGATATTTTCTACTCCATTACATTTTAAACAGACCATTTGCACTTTTTATTCTGCTTCATTTACTGTGTTGTGTGTGTGTGTGCGTATATGTATGTATGTATGTA